TTTCGACAATTTTCAATTGTCATCATCAGGAAATAGTAACAAGAAACAGATAAGACTATATAATATAGTCTTATCTGTTTCTTGTTACTATTTCCTGATGATGACAATTGAAAATTGTCGAAAAGCTCGAAATAAAATAAAAACGTTTTCAATGAAAATTGAAATATGACGTTATTTATAATCTGGTTTGAAAAAATAAGTAGTTTAAACTGATCTTCGAAAATCTTTCTGAATTTTTTTCAGATTTCAGAAGACAAACTGCGGAATTTCTGAATTTTGACATTTGAATTCTGGATTTTTGATTCTCACACCTGGCAACGCTGTTGATTTACGAAAATGCTGCTCAAAAACCAATTTTAGTGAGAAATTTAGCATAAAAATGCTCAAAAAACATTTAAAAAAATCAAAACTAGCGTCCGAACGTCCAGATATGTCTGATTCCCTTCCCCTTTACCTGAACGTCCCCTTTATGGATGTCTCCTTATATGAAGATGTAGGTGAGAGCTGCGTGGGGGCGAGGTAGAAGGTGATGGACGCGGATGCTGCTCCGTTTGTACTCATACTCACGCTTATCCAATCCTTATCCTCAGCACCGACGCCCTCACCCTCAAGGAGATATTTACTGGATCGTGAGCCCGTGACTGTTGGTGACATCGCAGTTACGTGGCTTAGATAAAAGCATAAGTAGATTTTGTATTGAATGAGTGACCTTATTATAGCAGAATAGTTTTTATTTAACTATGATGCATGTTAGCAAGTTGAGTGAACAGATTTTGAATCATTGCAAGACGTCCACTATCACAATATTGTTCATTTATAGAAAAATAAAAATATTGCTCTTCGTCACGATCATATTTCGTCAACATTTGATAGACATGAATGCCTTGAGACTTATGTTCAGCAGCCATCCAAAGACGAATCGTTTTATAATCAACATGCGGCGAATTACTCATTTTCCAGTTCAAATTAAAGCGAAATTCAGATGTTGTTACGTTTGTTAAAACTGAAGTGAGTTGATCTCCAGGATATGTTGGCGGTTTAGTTAAAACAAATTCCGATCCACCAATAACTGTCGGTATAGGCACATTAACTGATTTCAATCGTTGTAAGCGATCGATAGCTTCTAGCGCAAGTAGACCTGATGCTGTATGATGGCCATGTGAATCGACATTTGGAAGCATGATAATCATCAAATCATAGCCATTGGCGCCATTTCCATTCTTAATTGTTTGTTGAAATTGTTCAATAACCCATTCTTTATCCCAATGTTTTTTAAAGATAATATTCACATCCCGAGTGTATTCCAAATCGACTTGATTAAAGAAGAAATATTTTCTAATACCCAATATTCGGCCACTATCGAATAGTTCCTGTTGACGGATGCGTGGCAAATGTTTTCTAGCAACAGTTTCGTCCGATAATTTCAGATTTCCGTAGAGTGGCTCAGACGGTCCCGCATGTCCAAAACCCCCTTCACCGTTCGTCACGCACACCAGATCAACCGAAGCATTGAGTCTGTGCGTAAGAGCATAAACGAAGCCGGTAAAGAAAGTTTCATCGTCAGGATGTGCAATGACCAACAACGCAGCCAGTGGAGTAGTCGCCATTTTTCTAAACTAACGAATTGTAATATTTGCCCTAAAAGTACCGTACATCACATACATCTTCTCTGTAATAAATATCATACACTTACGAGGGAAGTTCACCAACTGTTCAATCTCTTTTGAGTTGGAACTACGTGCATCATGTAGTTTCTAATGAGCTATGAATACCCTGAAAAGAGTTTGGGTCGCTAGCTTATTATTGTCGAGATACTGCATTTTTGTGGTATTTTAAATTAAGCACAATGCTGTGGTTCCCTCAGGAACCAGAAAAACTGAGTTTTGAGTTTTGACTTGAAACTTTGCACGGAAACAGGCCTAAATAAGAGTAGTTTATTGTGAAAATTTTAGGTCTTTTGGTTGTTCCTATCCCAAGATACGGCTAAAAGGGTGTTTTTACACTGCTCGTATACCCCGATAGATTCCGATGTTCTTATTTCAGAATAGACAACCAAAAGATCTGAAACTTTCACAATAAACTACTCTCATGGAGGTCTGTTTCTGTGCCAAATTTCAAATCAAAACTTAAAACTCAGTTTTGCTGTTACTCCTGAGGAGGACCGCGGCATTCTGCTTAACAATATCGCAAAAATACAGTATCTCGACAGTACTAAGCTAGCGGCCTGAACTCTTTTCAGAGTATTCATAGCTCATTAGGACCTACATGGCGTACATAGTTCCTACTTAAAAGTGATTGAACAGTTGGTGATCTTTCCTCGTTAGAGTCTTGCTGATTCACTTTCTATAAACACTACTATTCTAGCAGCTCTCTTGCACATCCGACAGTGTGTTTATACTGCATGTTGTGGGATTTGAAAAAGGCTTGCTCGTTGGCAAGAACATTACCGATAGTTTCAACGCCTAACCCTTAACAGTTAAAGGTTAGCTGTGTCTCATTTCTGTTAAAAGTAAGCTAAGCAACAGAGTAGAGCTGGTATGATCAATGTTGTTAATGCAATATTATCCTTCACATAACCCTCAGTACAAAATTCTTTACTTCCTATGATGATTCCAGAATAGTTACTTATAAAACAACTACACAATAGAGTACTAGCCTCTTTCATATGTCGATTGTGTAGAAGGATTGATCGCACGTTCTGTCCATTTGTGCAGGGTACTTGAGTAACTTCACTGACGATGTGGTAAGGAGAAAGGTTTTGAACAAGTTGAAAAGTTTCA